AGGGCTAAGGTCAGGTGAATACGGAGGATGGGGCAGCCATTCGATTCCTAAATTCTCCAGCTCGTCCCTTGTCGCCTTCGCATGATGTGGTCGGGCGTTGTCATGGACCGATGTTGGCCTTGCCGCGGGTAGTTATTGGGACTGGAGCTCGGGACACCAGCTCTCGTAGTTGCTCACAGAATATCGATGATGTTACAGTAGTACCCTCATGAAGAATCTCGTAGTAAATACAGCCGGTGGAGCAGAAGAAAAACGAGAGCAAGTCCTTCTTGGCGTGGCAGCCTCGCTTTGGAACGGGCTCCGGCTTTTGATCCGACGGCAGCCACTCCAGTTTCCTATCCGGGTTTTCGTACGAGATCCACTTTTCATCCTGAGCAATTATGAAGCTCGCCCAAGTCGTCGTTCTTTCTCGATCGAGGAGCTTCTGACACACATCGACCCTCACCGCACGCTCCCTTGCGGTAAGAGACCGCGGAATGATTCCGGGCAAAGCCGCGCGGAAGCCGTTCCTTTTCAGAATGCCGTGAATAGTGGATCGAGGAGTGGAAGTCGTCCTCTCCAACTCCCTCAGACTTTGGGCAGGATTGGCCCTCACAGAAGCCAGCACGATGCCAGTGTTGGAAGAGGGAGGGCGTCCGCATCGAGGTGCTTCATCGAGGCTAAACTCTCCCACTGCGAAGCGATCGTACCACCTGTAGCAGGTTGCAAGAGAGGGTGCATTGCCACCCATCGACGACAGCGATTCATTCCTCGCTTGAGTGGCGGAGCGGCCGGAACGGTACAGATGAAGTAGGATACGTCGAGTGTCGTGTCTGTCGCACATTATTCGATTGGTGACAACAAAGGCTATTGACGAAATGAAGTGGTTTGATCTACAGATCATCCTCTATCTTCCCATGTTTTGATCTACACATTTGCTCATGGCCTTCGCGCGCTACGCTTTTTCAAAGTGAGGCAGCGAAATTTTCTCAAAACTTTCCGGACACCCTAATAGCAAGGTTAGAAGCAGATGTATGTGAGATGACTTCCCATGAACTTGAAAAGGAGAGAGAACAATCAAAAAAAAGCTGCAAAAGGTTTAAGTAGTGCTAAGCAAGAGACAAAAAAAATCGATGTTGGTGTGCTGGAACACTCCTACGATTTTTGGGACTGATAGGGCCCGATTTTGGCGTCTTCGGTAGTGTTTTCCGCTGTTTTCCTAGTGACACCCTACTCATCATATCGTTCACTGAAGTTGCTGTTGCCTGCATCTCACTCGTGCTCACGGCTTTCTGCCCTGGATCTCGTCATTGTACGCTTTGCCATTAAGACACCTAAAGACACGCTTCGCGGTCGTTGCGTGGATTTGGTAGCCAGGCCTGTACTTGCAAAGATCTCACTGCTTTCAGCACTCGCATATGCGTGATGAAATGCATCATGCGTGGTGCCAGAGACCCGTGCAACCACTGGAATCAGGATCTGCGTATGCAGTTACCATCTACACGACGACGAGTCACATAGGTGATTGCGGCGCCTTTGTTGCCTGCAGCGTCGTGTGACCATATTTTGGAAAATTCGTGATGACATTTGCTAATTGCGCTTGTGCTCACGGCTTTCTGCCCTGGATACTGTTTTCGAAAAAGAACGCATATAACCGAAAGCAGTTCTTCCGTTAGTTGAGAGTCGGTTCGGCGTCTCTTCGATTCACCCATGCAACAGTATCGGTACAGTCACTTCGTGCAGCCACAGTAATCCCAATTTTGCAACGGAATTTACTCACGCTATCAATGCAGAGTCAAGCGATTCTCATGCTATTTTTCATTTTGCATGAAGGGCGTTCGAAGGCAACCAACTGGGACAGAGAGTTAAATGCGCTCCCCGCATTCTAGAATGTGAGTTGTGCGGCACCGGCACTTATGACAAGACAGCGAATAATACAAAAGTGAAGAGAAAGAGCAGGAGGTCTCCATCCAGAACCCCGTGCTAAGTAGCCTGTACGTGCATAAGGCGAAGAATGGGCGTGGTCGGCGTCTCTTGTGCAGAGCTTTTCTCCTTGGGTATGTGACAAGAGAATCGTAAATTGCTCGGATGGTGAATGTAACAGTTTGGAATGTTGATGCGCTTTTCTTGTTCAGAAAGCGTAGGGAAGACCATCCTGAGACTGCTCACAATCGGCAAGTTCATGTGGTGGTGCAAATATCTTCTCGAGTGCTTCTTTTGTCACATCATTGAAGCGCGTCTGACTTGCGAAAGTTATTCCTGATCTGCTGCTTTTAGATTTATCACCGACGGATAGTCTGGAACGGATAAAAGTGCGCCGTGCTGTGACCAGCGACGGTATTGGCAGAAACCCCGCAACCAGCGAATTGAATAGAACCCCAAGCTTGCCGCAGATTCTCGTCAGAACTGGTTCAGGTAAGCTTGAACTTGTGGTCTTCACACAATGGAACGTTATCACAAGAATGCTGAGTTATGGGCAAAAGTCGTGCCCCAGGCGGGAGTCGAACCCGCACCTCACGCTTTCCGGGCGAGTGCGCTATCCGTTACGCCACCAGGGCCTATTTTACCCTCTCAGCTTAACGGCTTATGGGGCACGACTTTTGCCCATAACTCAGCATTCTTGTGATAACTTTCGTAACGCGTACTGCGGCGTAAAACAGCAGTTATCTAACAATGGGGAACGTTCAGCACAATAAGGCAGCGTTCATACTTTGCGGTTGCAGCCCGCCATCGTAGCGATGGTAGGTTGACGAGCGACGCTACTACGCTACCTCCAAGTGCTAGTTGCACAATCTAAACTCATGTAGCCTTTTCTCTTACTCGTTGTTACTATCTTCGAACTTACGACCATGGAATTTGCGCAGATAGGAACTTGAATCAGGAGAAAATCTTTTCGTTTTTTCTATTGAAGCCAAGAATAAGCGAAAAACGTAACATGCAGTTCAGAAGTTCCCTCCTGATAATTTTCGAATGAATTTTGGCTCCAAACCTGAGTGAATCTCATTTCTTGTTTCCTTCTTGAGTTGAACATTTGTCCCACTGCTGGGACGCACCTTTTTTGCCGCGTGGGACATTGCGTCCCACTGCTGGGATGCGGCATGGGTAAAAAACCAATTTGAATACGTTTCAAATTTTCAACAGCTACATATTATAGAGGAAGGCATTGTAGAATATGCAGTAGGTGTAAACAATGCAGTTGTGTCATTGAGAGTATTTTACCAAGGAGACAAACGAAAGTGATTTCCTTAGGAAAAAAAGCAATTTTTGGATTTATAGAACTGAAGCTCCACATGCAGATAGCTAATGTGATAAGGTAACTTTCAACAATAGCAGATCTGGAATCGAATCCAATTTACCACCTCTGGCGCGAAAATATTCCTTTTTTGCGACCCTATTTCCACGTCCCACGTGAATGAGGCGGGAGAATTCTATGGAAATTTCGGGTTTATCTTGGAAGTAATGGAAAGTAGCGAAGTTTTACTAGCTTCTGCAATGAATTCTTATCATTCTTCAATTGTTTTGGTGCATAAAAGCCCTAGCATTTATGCGCACTCGTCAAAAATAGGGAAAAACTGCTTTGTCCCACGCGGCAGACACGCGAAAAAGGGCGCTGTCGCCAATGTGTTAAGTAAGGCAGTTGGTGTAGTGACAAGCGGCGCGCTTACGCTCGCGCGGTCCTGGGCTCAAGTGTCGGATCGACCCCCTCCCGGGCCAAGCCTTTCTACCCTCCGATGGACGGTAAATTGGTACCAGATTCGTCTGGGAGGATAAAACTGACTTGTACATCGGCTGGCCACCGCAAGTCATTGTATAGGCCACATCGCATTCAATAAGCCACTACGATTCTGAATGGAAGTAGAATGCGTGCCGCATCCCACAAAGGGATTGATCAACGGCGAAGACTTTATCCTTTTGTTGTACTACAAATATTTCAAAAAGTGAATCACAATGAGCCAGCGAAAAGCTTGTAGGTAGCAAGGTTAGAAGCAGAAGAATGTGAGCTGACTTCCCGTGAATTGAAAAGGAGAGAGGAAACAGTCAAAAAAGCTGCAAAAGGTTCTAGTCGTGCTAAGCGAGAGACCAAAAAACAGTAGTGTGTTGGAACACTGCTACGATTTTTGGGGTCTAGAGAGCCCAATTTAGGCGTCTTCGGTAGTGTTTTCCGCTGTTTTCTTCAGTGACGCCCTACTTATCATATCGTTAATCACTGAACTTGCCGTTAACCGCATCATTGTACGCTTAGCCCGTAAGACACCTAAAGACGCGCTCCGCGGTCGTTGCGTGGATTTGGTAGCCAGGCCTGTAGTAGTGCAGAGATCTCGCCGCTTTCATTACTCGCATATGCGTGATGAGGGACCCGTGCAACCACTGGAACCAGGATCTGCGTGAGCAGTTACTATCTACACGACGACGAGTCACATGGTGATTGCGGCGCCTTTGTTGCCTGCAGCGTCGTGTGAAAAAATTTGTGGAAGTTTCGTGATGACGTTTGCTAATTGCGCTTGTACTCACGGCTTTCTGCCCTGGATACTGTTTTCGAAAAAGAAAGCATGTAACCGAAAGCAGTTCTTCCGTTTTTTGAGAGTCGGTTCGGCGTCTCTTTGATTCACCCATGCAATAGTATCGGTACAGTCACTTCGTGCAGCCACAGTAATCCCAATTTTGCAACGGAATTTACTCACGCTATCAATGCAGAGTCAAGCGATTCTCATGCTATTTTTCATTTTGCATAAGGGCGTTCGAAGGCAACCAACTGGGACAGAGAGTTAAATGCGCTCCCCGCATTCTAGAATGGTGAGTTGTGCGGCACCAGTACTTATGACAAGACAGCGAATAATGCAAAAGCGAAGAGAAAGAGGGGCTCCATCCAGAACCCCGTG